GGCGAGAGAAGTTGGTGCCCTGCTGTACCCTCCTCAGGAGTAGGGTGTCAGGGTGTGTGGCGCTGCAGCCATAGCTGCAGCTACCTTTCTCAGAGATCATCTTTGTCAAGAGTGGTGGCGTTGCTTCAGACTTCCACCCGGGAAGTCTTCCGGCACTTCGTCATCATCAGATACTGTGGTGCTGGTCTTCTTCTTCATCCGCTGAGAGGTGCTTGGCCTCAGAGGCCTGTTTCAGGGTGGCGCTCCCCTCTAGAGGCAGTATCTGGGTGGCGCTTGATGTTTCAGGGGCTCAGGGGTAGTTAAGAGCGGTTATTCAGGGTTGGGGAGTGAAGCGCTGCTCATTTCTGAGCAGCGCACCATGGTTCTGGGGTTATTCTGACAATTGAGACTCTGAGTTTAATAAACAGTGTAATTACCGTTTGGACTATCATTGTTTCATTGTTCCTTGGATGTGATCTACTCGGCTTTCCTTTGTGACTGGTTGTGAGGATTCTGTGGAGCGAATTGCACTGTCAGTGCTTTCTGTCATATCGCATGGTCAAGTCTTCCACTGTGTTTATCTCCCCCTGTGCGGTGTGATTCTCCCATCCTCTCCCCTTCCTTCTGTGTATGTATGGACATACCTGGAAGTCTATGTGAGCGAGTGTTAGTCATTTGAAAACAAGCAACCAGGATCATAACACAGAGAAGATTAGCATGGCAAAAAAATAAAAATAAAAAATAGAAAAGTTGCCTGTTTTGCAGAACTCAGAATTCACCATCTGGTTTAGACAATAGTCTGCAGAGACATAAGTCTTCCATTGCAAAACAAATATGCATCATCAAGCAGGCAGTAAGACATAGACAGTGTTAGACACACAATAGAAGGTGGAGAGAGAGAGAGAGAGAGAGAGAGAGAGAGAGAGAGAGAGAGAGAGAGAGAGAGAGAGGGTGAAAAAATGAGGATAAAAAAGATCATAATCGAATCACACCAAGGCACCCCCCTTTAAACCCCTTTAGCCCCTTTAAAAATAATTTATACCCCCCTTGCCCCCCTTTTAAAGCTAACACTCAAAAAAAGAAAGAGCCTGGATTTGGGCTCCTCTCCGAGAGCGCAGAAAACCCCCACCACCAATTTTTATTTTTATTTTTTTGTCCCTATTTTTTTTACCCATGCCTAGGTATCCCGGGCGGCAGACCCCCCCGGGCATCATGGCCGGGTGACAGGCCGGTCATGAAAATCTTCCTAGGAAAAAAACAAAAACGGTATCGGTCGCCTTTTTTTATGAAGAGGAAGAGGAAATGCCTGCAGCGATTTTTTAACCACAGAATGAGAAGAAGGGAAGGGAAACGGGGGGATAAGAATCTCATTTTTTGTTACAAACTACAAGCTGTCATCACAAAAAACATCATGAATGCAGTCAACTACCCTTTCAGAGCCCACTTTCCTTGCGGTGGGGGTAGACCTGTGAGACCCAAGTCTCCAGGGACCACCCACCACCTTGGCAAACCTCGCCAAGGAAGAAGAAGAAGAAGACGACGACGACGACGACGACGAAGAAGAAGAAGAAGAAGAAGAAGAAGAAGAAGAAGAAGAAGAAGAAAAGGCTATTCCTACCTGCACCTTCCCCCGAGAAGCAGAAGAAGAAGAAGAAGAAGAAGAAGAAGAAGAAGAAGAAGAAGAAGAAGAAGAAGAAGAAGAAGCAGCAGCAGAAGCAGAAGCAGTAGCAGTAGCAGTAGCAGAAGAAGAAACAGGAGGAATGGCAAAGAAGAAGAAGACGAAGAAGAAGACGAAGACGAAGACGAAGAAGAAGATGAAGAAGAAGAAGAATGACGAAGAAGACAAGGCTGTTCATAGCTGTACCTTCCTCCTTGGCCATGGTGTGTGTGATACAGAGACACATGAATGGAGTTTTGTCCTGCCGTTTGATACTGGAACTCATGACTGGCAGAGAGAGACAGCGATCTTGGACAGATCAAAGCCGATCAAATCACTGGATGTTTACTGCCTCCTCCGAGGGCACAGAGGAACTGCCTGGTTCGACGACATCTCCATCACAGAGGTCAAGCGAGGTGAGATGTGTTCTGGAAAGTAGTAGTGAATATTCATCGTTAGAATCACAGTTAGATACATACATAATCTGCTATGAGGAATGGCAGAGTAATACAAGAAATAATCTGAAATATGAAATAAAAGATTCTGTTAAATTAGTACTGAATCCTACTGATTAAAAAAAAAAAGAATGAGAATTATTCAATTATAATCAAAAATTAGATTTGAATAGTGGAAAAGAAAAAGAAATCAATTTTCTTATGTCGATTGTCGTATTCAAGAAATTATATATTAGTAATTTAGTAGAATATATTCCCTTCTGGAAAAAGAGAATACATTCTGAAATTGGAATAATTATTGATCATCAAAATTCAGATTGATTAATAATTAACTTAATAAAGTTAATATTATTTAATAAGGGATATATTTTTTAAAGTTTCCTAATAAATGATAGGAATGGCTTTGAGACCTTTACCATCCACCACACTCCTTTTTTTTTTTTTCCCTTTCCTTCTTCACCACACTTTCACTTCATGCACAGACAACAGTAAAAGGGAAAAAAAAAAAAAAAGAGTGTGGTGGATGGTAAAGCCTTAAAGGTTTGCACCCACACATCAACGTTCAGGTGAGGCGTAACCCAACAACAGCATCTGCCAATTACCCGCCCAGGATTGTTGTCTTCACGCAAGGACTGTAGCTAATGGTTATGGGTCTGCACCTCTGCGTGGTCCATCGGGATCATAATTCTTATTGGCAGTGTTTTGCTGCGTCCAGAATACGTCTCAAGTTCGCTCTCAGTGCCTCTCACTCACAACCCCTTTCTGGGCTTGGCTATGGCTACTCTCTAAAGCCGCCCAGTGCCGTGGACTACTACTACCAGCGGGAGTCGACGGAATAGCACAAGCCGCAGTATCTCCCAGCAGCGCAGCAGCGTTTCCTCCTGACCACCCAAGAAGAAATATGTGTTGATTGCCTCCTCAGCGGGGCTTCTGTACTCGAGAATTCGCCTTTCGGACTGTAGCTACCGGTTATGAGTACAATGCCCTGCCAGTGTTTGTTCTTCCAGAACTTCGTCGGCATTCCTGGGACTTTGCTGCTGTTTTGACCGACCCGACTGACACCTGGCCTAGCAACTGCTGCCAAAACTCTTCTATGATCTATCCCATAAACCATTATTTACGAGGCACTTTTGGATTGCCCTAGTACGCTGCTACTCTGGATCTAAGAAACCCCAACATTACAAGCCCAACATCAAACAGCATCTACAAGATGAACCTCCTAGGCATTTGTGAACATTTATACAAGCGGCGAAACCTACTATACCTATGCATTTGTGAAAAAATGTACATGCGGCTGAGGCCCACAATGGAACTGGGATTGGGGATCAGCACTGGGACTGGAACTCTGGACTGAGACTAAGACTGGAACTCAGGGCTGGGACCAAGGGTGCAGTGGTGAAATCCTTTCAGAATCACCAAAGAAATTGAAAGAATAATAAACCTTTTTTTTTTTTTTTTTTTTTTTGGAAAACTCCCTTTTGGATGTTAGAGGTGCTGATACAAGCAGACACCTCTAACACCACAGGGGGACTCCATCTATTGGTGGGGAGTATCACCTGCTGGAAACCGGGTCCAGCCTCCCATGTATAATACAAAATTGCGACTGAAAGACATGGAGTAGAGGCTGATATGTTATGGGAAGGCTACAGCCTGCCAGCATTGATTACCCTTATGAAGTACTTTCTGACATTTTGTGTTATGTTTTTTTAACTTTTTTTTCTTAAACGGGCGATGGCCCTCAGATGTCATCGTTGAACTGACCGGACCCGGGTAATTCAGATTTATTTCCTTCTGGTCATCTGATTTGTGTCTGGATTCGAACTTCGGCACCTGCTGGAAACCGGGTCCAGCGTCCCTTTGATACCTCACCTTGTAACACAGAAATTGTTCTTCATTGTTTCCAGGGGCTGTCGTTATTTCTCTTGTCGGTCCAGGGCAGGGCTCCATTGTCCCACGGAGCTGCTCATAACTCCCATCCCATCTTGGAGCACCCCTTATCTATTAGCCCTATTTTTGCTAATAACTTATATACTATATAAATTATTGCATACAGTTACCAGCCTATCGCTGTTCGTAAGGCAGACGAGTGGATTTCAGGAGGTCATGGTTTCAATTCCCACTGGCGTCATGCAGCAACCTACGTGGCCACAATTGGCGGCGTTTGGCGCCCACCAGCTAGAGATATAGTCTGTTGGCCCCTCCCCACTGGAATGAGCAGCCACTGCTGATGAGGGAGAGAGAGAGGGGAGGAGCAACCGGCACTACCTTTGTTACACGCGCTATTGGCTGACCCCTGATCGATGCTAGGGGGGCTATTGGGTATCAGGGGGCTATTGTTATACGCGCTATTGAGGCAGGGGGAGAGAGGGGAGGAGCAACCAGCACTACCTGCATACTGAGGAGCAACATTTATTCTCTCAGTATGCAGGAGGGGATACCCCTGCTGGGTTTCCCCTCAATGCTGAAATCAGGCCACCCTGGGTGAGAAGGCCACATCCTGTTAGATTATATATAGAAGATGGAATTTACCTGGGCACTGTAAGTGAGACGATAATATCTAAGCGTTGTCCCCCCTCTAAACCACCGCCAGTACACGGCCCCAAGCAACTGGAGATTTGAAGGCTCAGCCGCTCTTCATGCCCCGGATTTTTGTCCATATATTTGTACACATCCATTCGCCCCAAACATACGTATGCCACAAACTGAAAGGAAGTGTGTCATAAGAGTGATAAAAAAAGATCATACCATGTATGTTTCATAACATATAGAATAATATTGTATAGACAATATTATAATCATAGATTCTCCCTCGTTTCGAGGTTTTTGTGAGTCCTGCAGGAGGGGGAGATCCTATTACATTTCAACAACCATAGCAGCGATCCGAACACTCGGACAGGGATCCGGATCGTCTGGTGTCCGCACTGTCCGGTGTCCGGATCCCTGTCCGGATGGTTGGAAAAAGGGGGGTAGCCCAATTTTTCTTTTGTCAGTCCAGGTCGTTTTCTTCCATCCTGGATTGCCGTGGAATAATACTGGCCGTTTTTTTTTAACTTTTTTTATGGGCCTTGTTTGGCATCCAGACAGGGCCGGTAGGAGGCTATTTCACAAAGTTTTCTTCTCCCTTTCGCGAATGTATTGGGACCATTTCTCAATTTATGTGCGTCATCCTTACGCAGGGTCCATGCTAATCTTCTCTGCATCGTTCCAATTTTAATGGTTGTCCCGAAGGATCATGAATGTATTTGCGCCCTCCGCTCACGGTTTTGGAATTAAACCAAGCTCTTTTTCTTTTGTTTTTCGCACAAGGGCCTTACCCAGCCCTCTTCAACATGCCCGTATCTTCCCCTTCCTGGGATTCGAACAACTTCAGAGAAACACGGAAAACAAAAAATGAATTTTCAGAAAGTTAATAGTGCCAGTCAAAATGGGCACCTGGAGAAAATCTGGGTACTTCCTGTCCCACGGTTCTCTCCACTCACCACTTGATGGGCTCCATTTTTTTATTTGTTTTTTTTCTGGTGGCCGTTGGCGAAAAGCCAATGGCAATTCAGCCCTGGCTGAATGGAACGCCCATGCCAACTGGCCCACGTCATTTGGGACACCCATGAACGGCTGAACGGAACACCCTTATCAATTGGCCCTTCTCCCCCTCCCCCTTCTATCAGTGCATCTGTGCAGGTTGGTTTGTTTGTTTGTTCGTTTCTTTGTTTCTTTGTTGCTTTTTCTTTATTTTCTTTTTTTTTACAGGGACATCCGGACAGGAGTACAGACGTGTGCATTATCTGGACATTACCAGAAATCCGGACAACCAGATCAAGCCGGGAAATCCGGCGTCCGAATGACTTGTCCACTGCTGCCATGATTTCGACATCTATTTTGGTTCTTTGGTGGAATGGCCATCTTAGAGAGCAATCTGTGACGAAAACATCATTTATCGGCTGAGACAACTTACGTGCGCGTGCGCGCGCACACACACACACACACACACACACCTTCATGTATGTGCGCTCGTTCGCGCACACGCAGACACACACAACACACACACACACACACACACACACACACACACACACACACACACACACACACACACACACACACACACACACACACAC